TAGTGTATTTATGCTGAAAAATTATGGTTAGTCAACAGTATAAGAGTAGATAACAATGAATTTGGCTTTATGCCATATTTTTTCACGCATTAAAGTATTGACTAAACTTAACAGGGAACAAAACATACAACGATTATAGATCCATGCTATAATACAGGTACTATATTCCAATAACAATAAACTTATTGATTAGAGGCTAAATAAAACAAAAAATGAAAGAGTTTGTAGAAAAAAACTCCATGGAAATCTATCAACTAGATGGTGGTTGGTGTCTGCAGTTTACTATATATGTAGGATGCCTCTTATAGGTTAGTGGGTATTGTTCTAGTCTGTCTGTCAGGAGGTTGTTGGTTCGATCCCCACCAGAATCTCTGGTAAAGGAGCTTAGAAAGCTCCTTTGTTTAAAGCAATTAAAACAAATTTGTAAATTTTTAAAGACTTGTTGCTGGTTAAATGTAAATTTTCATTATCCTTAGTCAAATGCATCATGACAATAAACCAATTTATTTTTGTATTGTTCGTCTTTTTAACATTTTATTGTTTTTGTTGTTCTTTTTTTATTTACAGCCGTTGTTGCGACAAAAAAAGTTGTGGAAACCGCAATGAAACACCATCAGATCCTGTCATTATTGATCGGTAAGTAATAAAATATACTATTTACAAACAATTGCTGCTGTATGCAGCAGTTTTATATATAATATTTATTTAAGTAGTCTTCGTATGCTTTTATCATATTTTATAAAATTGCTTTCAATGTTAATACGCAGACATCGATATAATATCCCTGTAATAACTACTAGTGTATATATTTCATCCTTATGCAGGATATACAAGTTTGTTGTGTGTTTTTGTCATCTTCCTTTCGAAGTTGACATTTTAAGCAGCTTTTCATTATAATAAATATCAGACTTGCTACTTGCTCTTTATATAGACACAATACTTCACACAAACACATGTAAACACCAGCTCCTTGTGCTCGAAATCATCAAGCATGATGAACAGAAAAATGTTGAAAACTTTCATTGGTTTAAATTATTATATTTAACGGAAAATTTTAAATTATTAAATTTAATATAAAGATAAAACTGAAAGTTTTAAATAATTTCAAAATTCCAGTTAGATTAGGAGACGGAAGAGAGTAAGAAATACGCTCTCTGTATGTCTTTAGCTTGAGAAAATAAGAGCATAGGAGTTAGATCTTGGCCGATATCTGTATATCAATTATATCTTTCTATTTAATAAAATAACAATAAATACTCTCTTTAAAAGGCTCTTTAAAAGAAGAGAAAGCTTTTAGAAATAAATTGAAATATTTGGTGAACTACAGGTGGTATGAGTAATATTAATTCTAGTTAATTTGTTAACAATTTAGTACATACTCAAATAAATAGTTAAAAAAAACTTTCAAAAGATTGAAATTTCAAAATTCTATAAAAAAACACTAAAATATTTTGCCCTTAAACTTTAAGGGATAATTAACCTAAACTATTTGACAATTCCTTATTACAACAATCAATATATTCGCTAAAATTTTATACAAAAGTTGTAATATTGTTGTTGTACAAATTCCAGTTACATCTTTGTCTCGTTGTATTTATAACCATACTTGTCATTGTCAATTTTGTTGTCACGTGCCAACAAATTATGTAGCATCATCATCATCATCATTGGAATACATCCTTTTTGCTTGAAACATTTTACCCGGTATTGATGTGGTATAACCGTGTGTAACAGTGTGTGTGTATGCGTGCTAGTAAGTGTGTAAGTATAGCGTGCAATATGTCGATAAGTTAACCACCGTGTTCATACTCTTTATTTCCAATTTTTATTTCTGCAACAGAAAAAAATTTAAATATTACTTGTTTTTCATTATTGTTATTATTATTACAACTATGACTGAAATACGTACATACACAGATGCATGCGATACGTTTGTATGTATGTAGTACATTTACGTAAAAATTTTGTTATAAATTGCCAACGCATGTTGTCACTTGTGTTTAACATGAAATGGGGAAAGTCCTTCATACATTTTTATCGGTTAGTTGTTCGGTTAATTGGTTACCAAATATAAAACAAGAGATGTAACCAACAACAACAACTACTACTACAATAATATACATAAAACCATTAATATACTAGACTTCATACCTAAAAGCAGCAGCAGCAGACAACTGACGCAATACACGTGAATAGCCCAACGTTGCCTTCTTCTTGTTAATGGTTTAGTCAATTTTCTGTTTTTGCCTAGGTTTACGTCTAGGTTAAAACTAAAACCTAAGGGTTTGTAACAAAAGGCATTTAATTAACTTAAAATTATATTTATCATAAAATTTTTTGGTATGTTAACAAATCGATTTTTTTTATAATTGAAAAAAAACTAACAAAAAATTTTAATTTGAATAAAATATTTTTCATCTAAAATAAAAACAAACTTAAAATTCTTTTACAATTATTCAAACTAAATATTTTATGTTTAAACTAAATGCCAAAAAAGCAAGAAAAATGACTAAATGTTTTTATTATTTTGCCGGCAATATAATATTGCTAACTGTTGACACCTCACCCAATCATACTAAAACTTCCATGTACTTTTACTGCAACGTCCAGGGCTGCTATTTTAACATGTTCACCAATTATTTAACATTTTTATCATATTTGCATATTCAGTTGTTGGTTTTTCATGCTATCTTTAAACACCCTACAATAAGTTACACAAATAAAGTAAATGCTTATATTTATTTAAAGCAACTATTTCTTTTAAAAATTATATTTTTAAGAAAAAATTTCCTTCTTTAACTATAATTAAAATTTAATTTATTTAAATTAATTTTATTCTTTATATTATAAGATAATAATGCACTTTGTTTTGTGGCCATGACCGACTACAATTTTTCTTTCCTTTAAACGCCAACACATGTACTATAAATGAACTTTACCTTTTTTTGTGGAACATATTCTACTCGAAAAAAAAACCATATTTGCAAATAAAATAATAATAGTCCTTCACTAGAAAATGCATTTAGAAAATTAAAAAAAACTCTGTGTTGCCACCAAAAGCTTGATAAAATAAACAGACAAATTTACATAACAAACACTCAAAATTTTTTGACAGTAATATGAATGAAAAGGATAGATATTTGCTGATTAAAAAATGTGGCATCATCTTAGTGGTAGTTCACACAAAGTAAATTTTGTCGCTTCTACATTCGTCTGTATCTGTAATCCTCTCAAAAAACGTTTCACTACACTAACCTCGGACTTACTCATTATGGAGGATTCTCATCCTGCTCTTGATAAGATCACTCATCGCTTAATTATTACAAGTTGCCCTATGTGATTCTCCCAACAATGTTTTTATTCAGTCCTTGTTGCATCGAAGAGATTTGCATTCGTTAGGTTAACTTCCTGTAGTTCCCTAATCGATTATTCCGGAGTGGCAGTCCAATATAGTCTTATAATTCAGAAGAGTACGTATGGGATCTAAACGCAATATGTAATGAAACCATCACACATTGAGAGAAAATACTGATGGAAAATTTGACAGCCGTATGGCTCTCTCCAGTTTGCAAAATGATTAAAAACACAAGCAAGTCGCATTAGATCAGATTTTTATGTAAACACATACAAAAAAAGTGAAACAGCTGTTTCCATCTTACTTTGTTATTGTTTTATATCAATCGTGTATATACAAAAAATATAAATCATACGACTTTTGTCATACGGATGGAATTTCATTTTACTTTTACATTAGACTTTACCTACGTACATTAGACTTTACCTACGTAAAGTGTGATCGTGTGAAGGGCCCTTTAACTATTCCAGTATTACAAAGATGAAATGTCAATTTTGACATACGATAGCATAAGTAAAAGTAAAGTCTCTATCACTGAAAATACCAACAATATTTCTTTGAGTCTAACAAAAAGGTATTATTAACAAAGTGTATAAAAGTTTTGTCATCATTTAAAACGATTACACAAAAATATTATAAAAAAAAGTCACGCGATATGCATGCAGTCAGAAAAAAGAGTCAACTGCCAGAGAAAAAACAAACTAAAAATGGGGTGAATATTTTAGTAGACTCTAAACAACGACACCAGAACCCGCAACTAAGCTCCAATTATACAAAAGGAAATGTATATTTAGTATAAAACCATGTGTCTGTCTGTCTCTCAGTCTGTCTGTGAATAGGCGAATTACGGTATACATATAACAAACTATTTAGATAATTGCAAAAAATATTAAAGAACCAACATTGCAATTACAAGAATATTAATCTAAATTATTATTATGTAATATTATTACAAAAAAAAAGGAAAAAAGGCTTAACACCATTATTTAGCCACACTTAAGCAGCAAGTCAATAACTGCTAATTATAAACTTGAAACATTTCTATTATTAAAAAATAGATTAAACAATTTATTAAAGTTTAAACTAATAAAATTTCTTAACACCAGCTGTCCAAAAGCTTTAAATTATTTCCCTTTACTGAGCTGCTGTTAAATTTAAAACCTACTACTACTACAGAAAAAAACTCCCATAATTTTAAATCAAATCAAACAGTTGACCACAAAAAACAGGCAGAAAAAGCGAAAAAAGTTTACATGATGAAACCACACACCGTGAAATGCGAACAATACTTAATACAACAGATCACAGAACAGTGATCGCAGAAGACAGTAGAAACAGTAAGGTGAATCCTTACATTCATTTAATTCTTGAACTCACACGAAGCGCATATTTTCAGCGCCCATATAAAAAAAAACATTGGAATAATTTCAAGTCGCCTTTAAATACATTAAATAAAAAATGATCCGAAAAAAGCATAAAAAAAGAAGACAAGATGATGACAATACTCGCATAGTCGTAATAATACAAAAGTGTCGTCTTAGTTGTAGTCGTGGAACGAACCACCACCACCATCACTAACAACAACAACAAATCATAAGAAATCAAAAAGTAACAACAACAACAACTCCATACAATATACAAAAAGTGATATTGAACTGATGGTTTAAATGGGCCGCCGCCGACACTCTGTGATCGTCACTGTTATTATTCTACGCATAATTTGAAATTCGGTTTTTTGATTTAATGCAATTACAATTTTGACTTTTCTTCGCTCTTTTCTGAAAAAGACCAAAATAAAACGACAACGAAACAAATTCATCAATAAAACATGTGTGTGCAAAAACAAACAAAAAAAAAAAAAAAACAGCTAAAATATCGTATAAAAAGCATAGGAACAGAAAAAATAAAACTTCCTTTTGGTCAAAGGAATTGGGTTGATTTAAAGTAAAAAATTGCAAAACCAGTTGTGAACATTTTAGGCCCCGTTGTTTGGCGAATAGTATTAGTACGTTTTAACTACTAGAGTTGGCATGAGGGTCTCTTTGAAGGTACTTTTTTGGAAATTGTTTAATTTTACACAAAAATATACATGGAATCTTCAAATCAGCTTAAATAGGACTGATAATATATTATATAAGCAAAACGATCTGGATTGGTTGATGGCAACTTACGGGTACTTTTTAAAGATGTCATAATAGATTAGTCAAGAGAACTAATTGCCTTTGTACAATTAACATTTTATAAAACAAATTTCGAAGTCCTAGATCAACTGTTTATTAAT